TTTGAATATTTTTAATAAATTTGGATTGTTTCTTGGAGTATAATATTTTAGTTGATCACAATTAAATAATGACTTTAGTACATTTGCACATAATCAAATGAATCATAGCCTCATTATATCTATAGATATCCTAAATCAGTAAGTAATCATCAAGCCTCTAATCACCGTGGCATAGCTTTTAACGTTCTAGATTAGCACGATCAAATGAGTGGTCTAGTGCATTTGAATCAAAGGTGACATCTCCTTGCATTAACATAAACCTTTGAATAGATCTTCTCAAAACTATTGTTTATCTGTTAGAAGATATTTATCCAATAGAAAGAGTCTAAAGATGACTCTAAGGTCCTTAGTTTGAATAGAGTTTCTCAAATTTCTTAAAGAACCAATTCTAATCATACATTGCTAAGATAAGAGGAGATTCATAATAAATGTTTTCAGGCAAATACTACAGTGGCATGATCTTGATTTGGCTAAAAGATGCATCAAATCAATATACTTTGATTTCATGTAATCTCAAAATGGTATATTGACAAAATTTTATTGAATAATCAACTAAAGTCAAAATCAATTGTTAATTTCCTTGAATTTTTGAAACAAGATTGTGTCTCTTGCCATTAACACAATTTGCTTTGTCTAATTTAGATTGATTTAATATTGTTCTCTAGTTTGATTGTCACAAACATTTGCCTTATAGGTTATTAGTAGGTGCACTATCATTTGTTTAATGGTTTAGACGAACGAAAACACTTTACCTCCCTCTCATTTTATAGGTTCCATTTAATTAGAAACTCCTGCTTGACTTGATGGTGTAGACCTTTTTTTATATATTGGAATGACTATTCCTTAATCATATAATTTTAAATTATTTAGAACGATTAAACTTGTTACAAATTAAGATGTTGGCGGCCTTTTGTCAGTTTCAATTTCGACTGCCTCCAATAATCCCCTGCCCCTGATGACAGGAGGTAAGAGGGCACTTTCCCTTTCATGTCCGCTCGACCGGAGCGAACCAACGGCCAGGGGTTTTGGGATGTTGTCGGGTCCCAGATTCAATCTTCAGAAGCTTTACTTGACGATGATTGGTTGACAATTATCGATTGCAATACTCGATTGAATATCCCTTTTCCATTTTTATTTATTACATTAATTGGTTAAATGAATATTAATTGCATATTTCTCGAATCTTTCAAAAAATTAGCTAAGTCCTAGATTTTTGAGAAAATTTCGGCAGCCTTCCGATGTCCCCTCCCCTGCACCAGGAGGTAAGGAGGGAACTTGCCCTTTTGGCTCGACTCGGCTGGAGCGAATCAACCGTGAGGAGATTGGGAGAGCAATTGAGTCTTCAATTAGTGTCTGTGCTCCCTCGGTCGGATAAGCTTGACAACCGAGGGCTTTGGGGGACCGAATCAAACCCTAGGACTTCCTTCAAATTGCTCCTATTGCGGTGCTTGTTTGAAAATCTCCTTTTTCCATAATTGATTAAATGAATTTTAATTGAAATTAAATTTTGATTTAATGTTTATCCCTTTTTTTTTGTGCTAAGTCCTGGATCTTTGAATAATTTCGGCGGCCTTTCGGGCATTCCTCCCCGTGCCGGAAGTAAGGAGGGCAGACTTGCCCTTCTTGGCTCGCTCGGGCGGAGCGAATCAATGGCGAGGTAGTTGGGTCTTCAAGTCTTCAATCCCTCAATCAGCATAAGCTCGGACGACCGACGGACTTTCGAGGACCGATCAAACCCGCAAAACTTCGCTTCAATAATCTTCAATTACTTTCATGCCCTGTTTGAAAATTCTAAATTTATCTCTTCTTCCTTTTCTCTCTTTTTTTTTAATTATATATTAATATTAGAAAAAATTTTATATATCATAATATATATAATATTTTTATTATAATATAATTAACATTATATTATACCATTATATTATATATTTTTTATTAATAATTTTAATATAATTAACAATATATATAATAATTATTTTATATAATATATATATATATATTATTTATATATTATACTATATTCTACTATATATACGGGCAGAGCGCTGGTCGGGCAAGGAGGCGGAGCCACACACGCGTCGGGGGAGTCAGCCGAGCGCTTCCGGTGTCAGGCCCCAAGCAGGTCGAAGGCAGGATGAGAAGGCAGTCGAGGCCCGGTGGGTTGGCTTTGAGCTTGGAAGGGGCCTGTGGCCGGTGGTGAAGAACATGAATGCAGGAGTTGGGCTGGTTCGACAGAAGCAAAGCAGGGGAAGAAGACCGGATGTCGTGATTTGAGATAGAAGAGGAGTCTTGCGGCTAGGGTAGATCCGTCGTCAGAGGCGAAGGCTGGCTAGGAAATCGACGGCGAAGGCAAGTAGCAGCGTCTGTTCTTGTAAGTTCTGAATCCTTTCCCTCTTTATGTGTGTGTGTATGTCTCTGAATGGGAGAGGAGTACTTTTTGTGTTGTAGAGGAGATCGTGGGGAGCGGTTTGTCCGATCATGGGTAGTTCACGGTTGAGCCATGGGTTGGGGCCGGCTGTTTTGCGGAAGTTACAGTCAACAGCTACTTCAGTGACTTCGACCCGACTAGCCCTCTAGCCAACTCCAATCGACTCACACCGATTATGTCAACCCAATCCTAACCCGACCTTCCTCTCTCATTCTCTTCCAGATGCACACAGAAGCCTCAACCTCCGACCCTCTCTCCATTTCACTATACCGAACTCAATCAATCCAGGCACGCAACTAGCTCGTGTTGACATTCAGTTCAACACATCGATCTGTCATCATTATCATTGCTTTTCAACCCATTGATCTATCATCGTTATAAATAAATGTATAAACTTATTTATTCTCTGCTTGCTTAAACAATAGGTATTGAAGAACTGTCATTGTATCTTTGATCCAACTAGGAGAAGAATTAAAGAAGGCCTACACCATCGTATCTTTGATCTGACTAGGAGAAATAAATACAAGATGACCTCGCATCATCATATCTTTGATCCGGACATGAAGAATTTGATTTGAAGATCTTGCACCATCGAATCTTTGATCCAACATTAACATCAACATCAAAGATTCGTATATCAAATATGAGACATCATAAAAAATTACAATTTTTCGATATCAAATATGAGACATCATAAGAAATTAAAATTGTATTATCAAATACACGATATATGGTATATTTCAATACATACTATTTTAGTATAATTAATAAATTATGCATTAATTAATATTATTATTGTTGTGTATATAATTTCAATATATATTATAATAGAGAAAAAAATCAAAATGATTCCTAAACTAGAGAGTCATTTTAGGAATCATTTTACTCCTAGCTATCTAATGTGCTTAATTCAGTCTCTTAACTCCTTAAACATGAATACAAAATGATCGCTTTATTGGACTTTTTTTAGATCAAATTTCAGAGGTCAATGGACAAATTTGAACACAAAAGATAGTTTGGAACTAAAATGGCTCCCACAAAAAGTCCAATAACCATCTTAACCTATTCCTCTATTATAATATATTTTGTCATAAAGTATATTATTTGTTAAGTATAAAAGAATGTGCGCTTGTGCATGCATGATTGGCATTATAATTACAAAAATGAAAGATTATCATTACTAATGCATTTGAGCCGAAGTCTAAGCGCTGAGAATTGAACTAGCCACTTCCCAGGGAGGAAGTCACTTCTCACTTCCCCACCAACCAAACATCTAAGTAGCTATTTCACCCCACTTCCCACTTCTCACTTCTTCTTAAATGCATACAAGCAAGCTCTAAGTTAGCCCACAATCATAAGCTTAAACCTCTGGATTGAAAATGACTATAACTACTAGTATATTAGATCCAAATTTGGCTCCCTTATGATTCATACTCCCTATCAAGGCTAGGGAGGGAATAGTAGGGGCGTCGATATTTGACAAGACCAGAAAATCCGACTTGAGCCCGACCCTAAAATTCCGGGATAGGGTCAACTAGAACCCGAGACGGGTTGAATTCGGATTCAACAATTCGACCCATTTCAAAAATCAGGTCGTGTTCGTGTTGACCCTTTGACCTAAAATTGACTCGAAACTGACTCATTTTTAACTCGAAAACCTGTTTTTGCACCCGACAACCCGAGATTGACCCGTTTTGGACCCATTTTTTTACCAAAAAGCGAAGATTGGCCCATTTTTGGACCCAAAAACTAGCATTTTTTGACCCACCAACCAAACAGCTAAGTAGCCATTTCACCCCACTTCCCACTTCTCACTTCTTCTCAACTGCATACAAACAAGCTCTAAATTGGCCCTCAATCATAAGCTTAAACCTCTGGATTGAAAATGAGTATAACTACTACTATATTAGATCCTAACTTGGCTCCGTTCTGATTCATACTCCCTATCAAGGCTAGGGAGGGAATAGTAGGGGTGTCAATATTTTACATGATCCAAAAACCTGACTAGAGCCCAACCTAAAAATTTCGGATTAGGGTCAACCCGAACCCGAAACGGGTCGGGTTCGGGTTCAACAATTCAACCCGTTTCAAAAATCGGGTCGGGTTCGGATTGACCCTTTGACCTAAAATTGACTCGAAACTGACTTGCTTTTTACTCGAAAACCCATTTTTGACCGAACAACCCAAGATTGACCTGTTTTGGTCCCGTTTTTTACCCGAAAAGTGGAGATTGACCCGTTTTTTTACCCGAAAACTAGCATTTTTTTTTTGTTGGCACCGGGTCATTCGGGTCGTGTCAGGTTGACTCAGACCCGAAGAGGGTCAGGTTTGAGTTGACCCGAATAGTGCTAGGTCAGTTTCAGGTTCGAACCAAACCCAACACGTGACCCGAAATTGACACCCCTAGGGAATAATATATGCAACCTTACCCTAGCATTTGCGAACAAGATTTTTCCATACCTTGAACCCATAAGCTTTATTTCAATTAGATTAACAGTGTCTCACAATACTTTATTTACCGTGCAATAGCAAAAGGAGTTAGAAATCTCCAGAGGAGAAGAATATGAGATACCTGTAACTTTATAGGGCTGGAATAGACTCTGGCAGAATTAAGTTCGGTTAAGGAAGTAACTAAAGCAAACTTGTTGACTTCCACAAAATTCAAGATATTCTCTTCCTCAATTTTTTCCTCTGCAAAAACATTATAATTAATTAATAAAGCTATTTCTCGACCAATATGAGAATAGATGCTCTGTGAAATACAGGTAACAGGGATAAGCATATGGTTACACCAGAAGTAGTGAAGAAACATGAGACTATAAATTACAAATGTTGCCAAATTAATTATGTTTATAGTGATCAGAATAAGTACAGGAACAAAATGAAGTAGCAAAGCGAACAAATATAAGGATCCAATAGGGTTCGAGAAAGATATAAATATTAATTAATAATTGACTTGACATCAACTTTCCACACCGCATAGCTCTATCGACGTAAAATTAAAAAGGGTGTACTGGGTGGTCATCAAAAGAGTATGATTTCAGATTCAAACAGATGATAGATAACGGAATAAAATAAAGCATAAGTGACATTTCTTATTACCTCATTCTCATGCTTCATGGAGGTGAACCAAAAATGAAAACCGGGAAACAATAAAATGGTTATAATTTTCGGTGAAATAAAGTACTGCAATTTGAATAAAAATATTTAAGCATCATTTTCCAGGATAAATATTCATGGCATTTTCCTTTGTCAATTTAGAAATTAATAGGTGAAAAATGCTAAAAAGAGTGGACAGCATATGTTTGTAACCAAAATTAAAGCTCACCCATTATAATAAACTTGAATAAAAAAAAAAGACTTGCACTTGGATTATGCTATGACTTTTCCAACTTCAATATGAGAGGCTTACACTTAAAATCCAATAAGGTTTAGGTATGTAATATGGAGAAACACTAAAAAAAACTATATACATCAAATAGCTCCAATGGAAGTTTTGCTTAAAATAGTCATACCGTATCTAGAATATTCAATGAAGAAGAAAATAAGGCTCTTTATAAGCATAGGAGGAATAAAGGGATCCAACTAACCAAAACTTTCATATCTTTCAGGTTCAGTTTTGACAATGCCAATGAAAGCTTTGTTAGATCTAATGTCTGGATAAAGAACTTTCGCAACCTTAACATCATTAGTCTCAACAAATTGAATTTCATTGTCAGTGGTTGCTGCTTTAACAAACTCATCATATTCAATTCCCTGCACATTAGAGTACAAGTCTATTAACAGCTTAAGGCATAGATATCCATGAATCTACACATGAATGCAATTTGAATATGAGAAACTTTAACCAGTTTCAGGATGTGAATTAACTACAATTGGCAATAATCATTTAGGTAATGAAAGTAGGGTCACTAGATAGGTGTCAAGGGTGACAAGCAGCATACAGGTGATTGACTGCTGCAATTGACCTGAACCTAAGTTTACGACCATTGGAGTTGCAACCATAATTATGCCAACTCCATTAGCCAATTGCAAAGTTAAGAGATTAAATCAAGGTAGATCTTAACTTTATAACCACCAATGCAATTCAACTACGAAAATATCAAATTTCCACAATTATAGCAGCTACAGTATATGAATGAACATCTTTTGCAGTAGTAAGTCATTGATAACTAATTTGAGTGCTTGTGCTATATATTAGAAAAGATAGAATAAAAGAATAAAAGGCATATCCCATATAAGAAACTTGTCATAATGCAGGGTCTTAGAACAGGTTGGTGTATGCCACCTTTCTCTCGGAATTACAAAGAGCCTATTTTTATTAACTTATGGACATTAGGACATAGCAGAGAATCTAATCATCGCCCCAAGCCTATCAGCTTTTTAAGGAGAGTAATTATTATATTAAAGAGATTGTGAGAGTAAACAACAATAATAATAACATCAAGCCTTTATCCCACCACGTGGGGTCAGCTACATGAATCATTTTTCCCATGATATCCTATTAAAAGTCAAACTCTCATTTAAAGCTAACTAAAAAAGGTCATTTCTAATATTTTCTAAGCAAGTATTTTTAGGTCTACCTCTACCTTTCTTAACATAAACCAATTTTAATACATCTAATCTCCTAACTGGGTCATCAGAAGGCCTACATTTTATGTTACCAAACCATCTAAGGCAACTCTCTCTAATCTTATCAGCCAATGGAGCTACTCCAACCTTTTCACGTATAAACTCTTTTCACATTCTATCTATAAGAGTAAAGCAATTCATCCACCTGAGATTCCTCATTTCTGCAACACTTAATTTTATGCTTCTCTTTCAATGGCCAACATTTTGCGCCATGTTGACCTCCACACGATAGCTATCTACAATTTTTGCCCGTAATCCTGCTCAAATGCCGCTAAAATCACTACATTCGATGTTGTTTGCGTCCTCTCCCGGAACTTCAGCTTGAATCACTCGATCCTCTCAGCTCATGACTCTCATCATTAAAACGAGACCGAATGACGCTTCGTTGCTTCTACTCACACACAAAGAACGCTCGTGACTACATCAAGAGGAAGAAAAGACAAGAGCTAGAGCATGGATCACAACCAACATATGGCCAAGATATTAACTCAATTTCAAATCCACCTGAAGAAAACATAAATAAGAATAAGGCTAGAGATGTGCCAATTCCCAATATTGATGACTCTACCATGTCGATTGTTGAGGAAGAGTTTTAGGAGATGCATAGGTGATCCAATTAGGAATTATATTACTTATGAAAGGTTATCACCATCTTACAAAGCATTTGCTACTTGACGATATTTAGGTTCCTTGTACAATACAAGAGGCATTACAAAATTTAGAGTAGAAGAAGATGATACAAGATGAGAGTGATACACTCACATGAATTATTACTGATTTGCCAGTTAGAAAAAGATCCATGGGGTACAAGTGGATTTTCACTATAAAGTACAAAGCAGATGGATCAATTGAGAGATTCAAGGATCTGTTGGTAGCTAGAAGATTTACACAATCCTATAGAATAGAATATCAAAAAACTTTTGCTCCTATCATAAAGCTTAACAGTATCAGAATGCTTCTATCATTGGCCATCAACCAAGATTGGTACTTGTAGCAATCGGATATAAAAAATATCTTTCTAAATGGTGACATTGAAGAGGAAGTCTACATGAAAATCCCAACTGGTTTAAAAAAAAAATAAGACAAAGAATCAAGTTTGCAAACTCAAGAAGTTCTTGTACAACCTTAAACAATCTCCCTGAGCCTGGTTTGACATATTCAACAAGGTTGTTTTGAAACTAGGCTACATACAAGGCCAAGTTGATCATACTCTGTTTGTTAAAAAAAACTTATGTTGAGAAAATTGCTATATGGATAGTCTATGTTGATGATAGTATTCTAACAGGAAATGATGTAGAGGAATTACAAAATTTGAAGAAATACTTGTCAGAAGAGTTTGAAGTTAAAGATATTGGAAATTTTAAATATTTCTTTGGAATGAAAGTGGCTAGATCATTAAATGGCATTATTGTTTCTCAAAGAAAATGAATTATAAATCTTCTTAAGGAAACTGGTATGCTTCGATACAAGCGTGTTGATACTCCTATGGACAATCAAAAGAAACTTGGTACCGAGAAAGAAAGTACATCTATAGATAGTGAGAGATATCAAAGACTTGTAGACGTCTGATCTATCCTTCAAAAGCTTTGCCAGATATTGATTTTTGTAGTGAGTGTTTTAAGTCAATTTATGTACAGTCCTACAAAAGAACATATGGAATCAATCTACAAGATTCTTAGATGCTTGAAATGAAACCAAGGAAAAGCTTATTCTTCAAAAAGACAGAATCATGACACTGAAGTGTATTCATATGCAATTTGGGTTGGAAACACCATTGATATAAGGTTAACTTCAAGGTATTGTTCTTTTGTCTGGGATAATCTTGTTACTAGACTAGTAAAAAGGAGTCAGTGGTAGCTAGAAGTAGTGCAGAAGTTGAGTACAGAGCAGGGGCACAAAAAAATTTAAGAAAGAATTTGAATAAAATGGCTTGTTAGTGAACTGGGACAAATAAGTTCATCTCATATTCTGATGATGTGTGATAATAAGGAGCTATCAACATAGCTAAGAATATCGTGCATCATGACAAGATTAAACACGTTGAAATTAACAGACACTTCATCATAGAGAAGGTAACTAGTGAGACTGCTAAATAAAATATCTCATTCTTCATTAAAAAGTTTAGCAAAATATTTCATCCACCTTTGTGCAATATCATATTCTAAGAAAAGTGCTTTCTGATCTTCATCCTTAATACACTTCACTTGAAATAAATCCTTACTAATCATATCTCTTTGTTTGGTAACTTATACATATATTTTTCTCTCTCCTTAGTATCTAATCTATTATATAAATCATTAAAAGCTAAGATCTTTGCAGTGCATATTGCTTTCTTAGATTCCTTACGTGCCTCTTTAAATTTTTCCCAATTATCAGGAATTTTACAACTCAACCAATTTTAATAACAACTTTTTTTTATTTTATATCTTTTCTTGTACATTTGGATTCCACCACCAACTATTTTTACTATTAGGAGACATTCGCTTTGAAACTCCAAAAACATCTTTTGCAATATTTTTAATATCAATAGTCACTTTTTCCCACATAACAATAACATTCTCATGCACAGACAAAATCATAAGATCTAAAATCTTACTCTAAAAAATATTTTTGTTTTTCACCGCAATTGAATTTAATTATTGACGACACTTGCAAATGAAGTTTAGCCAACCCCACAATAAAGATAAATTATGGCACACACTTATGAGTAACGCTGTGGAAAACACTTAGCTCCCTTTTACCACAATCAGATTAGTTCATGGAGCATTGCTTATATATTTTGGAGAAATGCCTTAACAATAGAAGACCATGATCAAACCTTTTCATGCACTGGCATGCATGCACACTTATTCTTCTTCTACTCAAGTGTCCTATGGAAAGGATCATATAAAATTAAAAGTCATCAAATACTTGTCAAAGTTAACGATTTTCCCCATTTGCGAGATATTGGATAGCAGTTAAGCGGTAGACATCTCCCTTGTGGAAGAAAACTAAATTAGATTACGGGAAAAATCAAAACAACAACAACATCAAGTCTTTATCCCAGTACGTGGGGTCGGCTACATAAATCCTTTTTCTCCATTGTGTCCTATTAAAGGTAAAATTCTCGTTTAAATCTAATAAAGAAAGGTCATTCATAATATTTTCTAACCATGTCTTTTTAGGTCTGCCTTTATCTTTCTTAACAAAAGTCAAATCTAATAATATCTCTACTCTCCTAACCGGGTCATTGGAAGGCCGTCGTTTTATGTGACCAAACCATCTAAGGCAACTCTGTCAAATCTTATCTTCTACTGGAGCTACTCCAACCTTTTCACGAATATGCTCATTTCGTATCTTATCTCTAAAGTAAAGCCACTCATCCACCTAAGCATCATCATCTCTTCCACACATAACTTAGTATTATGCTTCTCTTTTAAAGGCCAACATTCAGCACCATAAAGCATTGCAGGCCTCACTACCATCTTATAGAATTTTCCCTTAAGTTTGAGGGGTACTTTTCTATCACACAACAAGCCCGATGCATTCATCCACTTCAACCATCCAACTTGAATTCTGCTGATAATATCCCCATCAATTTCACCATCACTCTGAACAATAGATATAACATACCTAAAACCTGTACTCTTATTAATGACTTGATCACCCAAAGTCACAATCCCCTCACTAGGTCTATTACTACTAAAATTACACTCCATATATTCCGTTTTAGATCTACTCAAGCGAAAACCTTTAGACTCTAAGGTTAACCTCCATAATTCAAGTTTACCTTCAACTCCCTCTCTAGTCTTATCAACAAGAAGAATATCATCAGCAAAAAGCATACACCAAGGTACATCATCTTGCAAATGTCTAGTGAGAACATCCATGACTAAAGCAAAAAGATATGGGCTTAAGGCTGATCCTTGATGTAACCCAACCGAAATAGGGAAATACTTGGTCAAACCACCTTGTGTTTGAACACAAGTAATAGCTCCTGCATACATATCTTTAATGATTTAAATATAAGCATTATTAACTCCTTTCTTTTCAAGAACTCTCCATAGCACTTCTCTTGGAACTTTATCATATGCTTTTTTTAAATCAATAAATATCATATGTAGATCCTCCTTATTATCTCTATA